CAAAAATTCTGTGTCTGTCCCTAAGTAACAATTCTTGGCCCTAATTTAACTTTTCTGTGGCCCTAAGTAACGGTTCTGTGGCCCTAAAGAAACCCAATTCTGTGCCCCTAATAAAAATTTTTGTTTTTGCCCCTAAGTAAAAATTTCTGGTTTGGGGCCCTAAACAATTTTTTGGGGCCCTAATTTAAAAATTTCTGGGGCCCCAAGTAAAAAATTTCTGGGGCCCTAATTTTCCCTTTTGTGGCCCTAGTAAAAAACTGTTTCCCCCAATTTAAAAAAAACCCCCCCCATTTCTGGGGCCCTAAGTAACGTTTCTGGGGTCCAAAAGAAACGGTTTGTGGCCCTCCCGAAAACAATTCTGTTCCCCCCAAATAAAAATTTTCTGTGTCTGTCCCTAAGTAACAATTCTGGGGCCCAAAAGTAAACCCCCAAAAAAACCCCTTTTTTCCCAATTTCCCTGGGGCCCCAAAATTAAAGGTTCTGGGGCCTCAGTAACAATTCGTTCCCTCAGTAACAATTCTTTTGTCTGCCCCTTCGAAACAATTCTGGGTCCCAAGGAAACGTTTCTGGCCCTAAGAAACATTCTTTTGGCCCTAAGAAACCTTTTTTCCCCTGAAACCGGTCCGTTTCTGTGTCCTGTCCCTGAGTAACAATTCTATAGTCTCGTCCCTGATTAACAATTCTGTCTGTGTCCCCCTAAGTAAACAATTCTGTGGTCCTAAGTAAACGGTTTCTGTGTCCCCTCAGGTAACAAATCTGTGTCCCCCAGTACCAATTCTGTTCTGTCCCTAAGTAAACAATTCTTGTGGCCACTAAGTAACGATTCTGTGTCTGTCCTGAGAAAGCGTTTTCTGTGGCCCTAAGTAACATTTCTGTGCCCCTAAGTAACGTTTCTGTGGCCCTAAGTAACGTTTTCTGTGGCCCTAAAATCTGTGTCCCCCAGTAACAATTCTGTGTCTGTCCCTAAGTAATTCTGTGGCCCTAAGTAACGATTCTGTGGCCCTAAGTAACGTTTCTGTGGCCCTAAGTAACGTTTCTCTGGCCCATCAAGTAAACAATTTCTGTGGCCCTCAGTAACAATTCTGTGTCCCTAAGTAACGTTCTGTGGCCCTAAGTAACGTTTCTGTGGCCCTAAGTAACAATTTCTGTGTCCCTCAGTAACAATTCTGTGTCTGCCCTAAGTAACAATTCTGTGGTAACGTTCTGTGGCCCCTAAGTAACAATTCTGTGGCCCTAAGTAACGTTTCTGTGGCCCTAATAAGTAACGTTTTCTGTGGCCCTCAGTAACAATTCTGTGTATCCCTCAGTAACAATTCTGTGTCTGTCCCTAAGTAACAATTCTGTGGCCCTAAGTAACGTTTCTGTGCCCTAAGTAACGTTCTGTGGCCCTAAGTAACGTTTCTGTGGCCCTAAGTAACAATTCTGTGTCCTACGTTTCTTGGAAGTAACAATTCTGTGGCCCTAAGTAACGTTTCTGTGGCCCTAAAGTAACGTTTCTGTGGCCCTAAGTAACGTTTCTGTGGCCCTAAGTAACAATTCTGTGTCCCTAAGTAACAATTCTGTGTCCCTCAGTAACAATTCTGTGTCCCCTAAGTAACAATTCTGTGGCCCTAAGTAACGTTTCTGTGGCCCTAAGTAACGGTTCTGTGGCCCTAAGTAACAATTCTGTGGCCCTAAGTAACAATTCTGTGTCTGTAACCCTGTGCCCTAAGTAACAATTCTGTGGCCCTAAGTAACAATTTCTGTGGCCCTAAGTAACGTTTTCTTCTGTGGCCCTAAGTAACGTTTCTGTGGCCCTCAGTAACAATTCTGTGTAACAAATCTGTCCCTCAGTAACAATTCTGTGTCTGTCCCTAAGTAACCGCAATTCTGTGGCCCTAAGTAACGTTTACTGTGGCCCTAAGTAACGATTCTGTGGCCCTCAGTAACAATTTCTGTGTCCCTCAAGTAACAACTTCTGTGTCTGTTCGCCCTAAGTAACAATTCTGTGGCCCTAAGTAACAATTCTGTGTGGCCCTAAGTAACGTTTCTGTGGCCCTAAGTAACGATTCTGTGGCCCTAAGTAACGTTTCTGTGGCCCTAAGTAACGTTTCTGTGGGCCCTCAGTAACAAATCTGTGGCCCTTCTGTTAACAATTTCTGTGGCCCTAAGTAACGATTCTGTGTCCCTAAGTAACGGTTCTGTGTCCCTCAGTAACAATTCTGTGTCCAATAAACTGTTCTGTCTGTCCCTCAGTAACAATTCTGTGTCCCTAAGTTAACAATTCTGTGGCCCTAAGTAACGGTTCTGTGGCCCTAAGTAACGTTTCTGTGGCCCTAAGTAACAATTTCTGTGTCTGTCCCTAAGTAACAAAGTGGCCCTAAGTAACAATTCTGTGGCCCTAAGTAACAATTTCTGTGGCCCTAAGTAACGATTCTGTGGCCCTAAGTAACATTTCTGTGGCCCTAAGTAACGTTTCTGTGGCCCTCAGTAACAATTCTGTGTCCCTCAGTAACAATTCTGTGTCTGTCCCTAAGTAACAATTCTGTGGCCCTAAGTAAACGTTTCTGTGGCCCTAAGTAACGGTTTCTGTGGCCCTCAGTAACAATTCTGTGTCCCTCAATAACAAATTCTGTGTCTGTCCCTAAGTAACAATTCTGTGGCCCTAAACGTTTCTGTGGCCCTAAGTAACGTTTCTGTGGCCCTAATAACGTTTCTGTGGCCCTAAGTAACGTTTCTGTGTCCCTCAGTAACAATTCTGTGTCCCTCAGTAACAATTCTGTGTCTGTCCCTAAGTAACAATTCTGTGGCCCTAAGTAACGTTTCTGTGGCCCTAAGTAACGGTTCTGTGGCCCTCAGTAACAATTCTGTGTCCCTCAGTAACAATTCTGTGTCTGTCCCTAAGTAACAATTCTGTGGCCCTAAGTAACGTTTCTGTGGCCCTAAGTAACGTTCTGTGGCCCTCAGTAACAATTCTGTGTCCCTCAGTAACAATTCTGTGTCTGTCCCTAAGTAACAATTCTGTGTCCCTAAGTAACGTTTCTGTGGCCCTAAGTAACGATTCTGTGGCCCTAAGTAACGTTTCTGTGGCCCTAAGTAACGTTTCTGTGGCCCTCAGTAACAATTCTGTGTCCCTCAGTAACAATTCTGTGTCTGTCCCTAAGTAACAATTCTGTGGCCCTAAGTAACGTTTCTGTGGCCCTAAGTAACGGTTCTGTGGCCCTAAGTAACGTTTCTGTGGCCCTCAGTAACAATTCTGTGTCTGTCCCTAAGTAACAATTCTGTGGCCCTCAGTAACAATTCGTTGTCCCTAAGTAACAATTCTGTGGCCCTAAGTAACGTTTCTGTGGCCCTAAGTAACGTTTCTGTGGCCCTAAGTAACGTTTCTGTGGCCCTCAGTAACAATTCTGTTCTGTCCCCTCAGTAACAATTCTGTGTCTGTCCCTAAGTAACAATTCTGTGGCCCTAAGTAACGTTTCTGTGGCCCTAAGTAACGGTTCTGTGGCCCTCAGTAACAATTCTGTGTCCCTCAGTAACAATTCTGTGTGTCTGTCCCTAAGTAACAATTCTGTGTCCCTAAGTGGCCCTAAGTAACGATTCTGTGGCCCTAAGTAACATTTCTGTGGCCCTAAGTAACGTTTCTTCTGTGGCCCTAAGTAACGTTTCTGTGGCCCTAAGTAACGTTCTGTGGCCCTCAGTAACAATTCTGTGGCCCTCAGTAACAATTCTGTGTCTGTCCCTAAGTAACAATTCTGTGTCCCTAAGTAACGTTTCTGTGGCCCTCAGTAACAATTCTGTGTCCCTCAGTAACAATTCTGTGTCTGTCCCTAAGTAACAATTCTGTGGCCCTAAGTAACGTTTCTGTGGCCCTAAGTAACGATTCTGTGGCCCTCAGTAACAATTCTGTGTCCCTCAGTAACAATTCTGTCTGTCCCTGAGTAACAATTCTGTGTCCCTAAGTAAACGTTTCTGTGGCCCTAAGTAACGATTCTGTGGCCCTAAGTAACGTTTCTGTGGCCCTAAGTAACGTTTCTGTGGCCCTCAACAGTAACAAATCTGTGTCCCTCAGTAACAATTCTGTGTCTGTCCCTAAGTAACAATTCTGTGGCCCTAAGTAACGTTTCTGTGGCCCTAAGTAACGGTTCTGTGGCCCTCAGTAACAATTCTGTGTCCCTCAATAACAATTCTGTGTCTGTCCCTAAGTAACAATTCTGTGGCCCTAAGTAACAATTTCTGTGGCCCTAAGTAACGTTTCTGTGGCCCTAAGTAACGATTCTGTGGCCCTCAGTAACAATTCTGTATCCCTCAGTAACAATTCTGTGTCTGTCCCTGAGTAACAATTCTGTGTCCCTAAGTAACGTTTCTGTGGCCCTAACTAACGATTCTGTGGCCCTAAGTAACGTTTCTGTGGCCCTAAGTAACGTTTCTGTGGCCCTCGGTAACAAATCTGTGTCCCTCATTAACAATTCTGTGTCTGTCCCTAAGTAACAATTCTGTGGCCCTAAGTAACGTTTCTGTGGCCCTAAGTAACGGTTCTGTGGCCCTCCGTAACAATTCTGTGTCCCTCAATAACAATTCTGTGTCTGTCCCTAAGTAACAATTCTGTGGCTCTAAGTAACGTTTCTGTGGCCCTAAGTAACGTTTCTGTGGCCCTAAGTAACGATTCTGTGGCCCTCAGTAACAAATCTGTGTCCCTCAGTAACAATTCTGTGTCTGTCCCTAAGTAACAATTCTGTGGCCCTAAGTAACGTTTCTGTGGCCCTAAGTAACGATTCTGTGGCCCTCAGTAACAATTCTGTATCCCTCAGTAACAATTCTGTCTGTCCCTGAGTAACAATTCTGTGTCCCTAAGTAAAGTTTCTGTGGCCCTAACTAACGATTCTGTGGCCCTAAGTAACGTTTCTGTGGCCCTAAGTAACGTTTCTGTGGCCCTAAGTAACGATTCTGTGGCCCTAACTAACGTTTCTGTGTCCCTAAGTAACGTTTCTCTGTCCCTAACTCTCTCCCTGAATACAGCCAGGTCTGCCTCTGTTGAATGACTGGAGGCAAATGGAGAATTCTAAAATGGCCGCCATTTATAGCTCGACCATTACACTGTGCTGGCTGGCTGGCTGCTGATTGGCTAATGCGATCACATGTCATGAATGAATGCATTATGGGTCAGCGCGCCTTGTCTGCGCGCCTTCCCAGACATCCCCGCTCCGTCGCCGCACATGTCGCCGCCATTTTAGGAAAAATTTCGATTCGCGCATCCGAAGTCTGCTTATTTTCAGATTCGACGCAAATCGAAATTTTCCTAATATTCGAAACGAATTCCACTTCGCCTACTTCGATTCGCTCATCTCTAGCTGGAAACTGTACGTTTATGTCACTGGAATGCACTAATCACCCAAAAAATATTACCGCCACCCGGCGTGTATATGGATTTAACTCTTTGAACGTGCAATAGTGGTTGTGAAGCAGAAAGTCAGTTTATTGTACACAATCGGTCAATTGCAGCTTGCCGTTGGCTGGAAACTGTACGTTTGTGTCACTGGAATGCACTAATCACCCAAAAAATATTACCGCCAGCCGGCGTGTAAATGGATTTAACTCTTTGAACGTACAATAGTGGTTGTGAAGCAGAAAGTCAGTTTATTTTGCACAATCGGCAAACTGCAGCACCAACTGTGCACGACAGCCACCAAAAAAAAAAATGGTGTATGTCACTTTAAATTTTCGATTCTTTGATAGCTGTGGCCCTAAGTAACGATTCTGTGTCCCTGAGTAACGATTCTGTGTCCCTGAGTAACAATTCTGTGTCCCTGAGTAACGATTCTGTGTCCCTGAGTAACGATTCTGTGTCCCTGAGTAACGATTCTGTGTCCCTGAGTAACGATTCTGTGTCCCTGGGTAACGATTCTGTGTCCCTGAGTAACGATTCTGTGTCCCTGAGTAACAATTCTGTGTCCCTGAGTAACGATTCTGTGTCCCTGAGTAACGATTCTGTGTCCCCGAGTAACGATTCTGTGTCCCTGAGTAACAATTCTGTGTCCCTGAGTAACGATTCTGTGTCCCTGAGTAACGATTCTGTGTCCCCGAGTAACGATTCTGTGTCCCTGAGTAACAATTCTGTGTCCCTGAGTAACAATTCTGTGGCCCTGAGTAACGATTCTGTGGCCCTAAAGTCTCTGTGGCCCTAACTCTGTCCCTCAATACACACAGGTCTGTCTCTCTTGAATGACCGGAGGCTAATGGAGAATTCTAAGATGGCCGCGATTTATAGCTCCACCATTACACAGTGCTGGCTGGCTGGCTGCTGATTGGCTAATGCGATCACGTCGCATTACTCATGACTCATGAATGCATTATGGGTCAGCGCGCCTTGTCTGCGCGCCTTCCCAGAGATCCCCGCCCCATCTTCTCTGTCCATTTTCTCCTGTCGCCACACATGTCGCCGCCATTTTTGGGAAAATTCGATTCGTGCATCCGAAGTTTGCTAATCTTCGGATTCATCGCGAATAGAATTTTTCCATCTTCGGAACGAATTCCACTTCGTCATGTTCGATTCTCTCATCTCTAGCCAATACCTTTGGTCTTTCCTTTACTTCTGTATGTGATAGCTCACCCCTAGCCTTTTTAGATTTAACATTACACCATAAGGGAAACACCATCTACACTACTAATGACACCAAACCAACAACCAGCAATTAGTTCCTGCATTTTTCCAGCTGCGCCACAATTGTACTAGAACTGAGGACTACATCCATCACAGCAAGTTTATAAAGCAAACGTTCCTTGTGAAAGGCTACCCAGGAGCCAGAACCCAAGAGCCAGAACACTACAGATAAATGCCCATCTGACACTTCTCTTTCAGTTCGTTTTGTCACACATTTCATTGTCAGCATAAGAGGATGGAACAAATCTTTAAAAGACATTGGTCCATCTTGCTAGAGGACCCACATCTTACTTCTGTGATTGCTAAAGTACCTAAAATGGCATATAGGAAGGCTTCCAATATCAAAAATTAAATTGCACTCAGAAAAACTGAAGAGAACAGAACCATTATCTCCATCACTCTCCATGTTCTCTTCCCTCAAAGGGATGTATCAGTGTAGAAAGCCCCTCTGTCTAACATGTCACACATGGCCAAAGACAATTTACAAAAAAGGAAAACATATGATATCAATGCATTTTACAACTGTTCATCAGAGTTTGTCATCTATTACCTCATGTGTTCGTGCAGTTTACTCTACATTGGTAGAACCACACGGCCACTGAGGAAATTCGTGAAGGAGTGAGTTGAAAAGCACAGTGCTCCAAGGCATTAAAGAGCACCATGAAAAAAGTACCAAGGGTACTTGAGGGGATCTCTAACTCCCATTCCCCTGCTTAAAACTTTAAAATACTATGCGAACAAGAGACCTACTGGATCTATATTTTGGATACGTTGGTCCCTAGGGGTCTCAATGAAGAAATCGAAATCAGTAACATCATGTAAATGTCTCCAGTAGGAATCTTGTGAGCATCCTAACTGATATTATGATATGGGTACATCTGCTACAAAATAGTTATTTTCAGTAACAATACCAGGCTGGAGGATTCTAATCCTCAACTTTCTGCTAGTGGCTCCCTTAACGTAGGTGTTAAAACATTTGGATATATACAGTAAGATCATTTCCAAAAACTAGTTTTTTGAACTGACTGCTCCTTAAAAACTGAACATTGGCTCAAATGTCCCCTAAATCTTATTAGCTACATTAATAAATCAAGGATAATCTTTCTAAAGCTGTACTGCGGCATTGCTAATTCCATATTGAATTAAAAAAAAAACCAAACAATTGAGGAGTGATTTTTTATTATTGTCTCTTTCCATGACATCTAACAGACCTAGATTACCAATTCCTAATCTCATTCTCCCAAGTGGAATTGTCTTACTTTACAAGATGTACCGTATACTTAATAGTGTAAGCTTAATTTATTTTCAAAGCATAAACTTTGCGATACATTTTGGCTATATTGCCTCTGCTACTTCCAGAAAAACTATATAACAAGATTTTTTGAATTTACAATCATATTGGGTTGCTGTAAGCCAATGAATAATGCTAAAATAAACTAAATTATTACAGATGCAATTTAGGTGATATTATAATATTATAATATTTTGTAAAACCACTTACGTACAGTTTTGAGGCATCCCCTGAGCATATCATTTAAAAGAAATGTACTTTTAAGTCATCTGAAAATACACCACTGAATGATCATTTTTAAAAACTTGTTTTGCATTGGTACATGTTTCCCAGGGTACTGCCCAGTTCCTCATGCTTTTTGTTTGACAACCAATTACCTATTAGTCCAGACAATGGCCATTACTGATTGCTAAAATTTATTTCCCCATGAGGTCAATGGGGTTTGGATTCAGCATACAAAATTTCATTAAGTTTGCAAACTTATGTCAAACTGGAACTCCGGGTGTTCACTTTGAACCTCTGCCTCATCACTTATTACCAGCTATGGACTGGCAAAAAAATAAATACCTACATACCATTTTTCCTCAGGAGGTACCATTAAAACTGGATTCAAAGTAGTGATTTTTTTGCATAGTTACATTGGTTCAGCTTGCACCAATGTATGAAATGGTATCAAAAGGTTCTGTAACACACCAGCAGATGGCAGCACAATGCTGCATGCACAGTCACAGGGAGCACCAACCTTCATAAGTCAGTGTGCCAAAAGACATTGTTCTGTGTACATCGGGAGCTGTGCAACTGGTACTATTCTGACCACGTGCATTACCATGTTTGCTATTTTATCATGGACAGCCAGTTTGAACAAAGAGCAAACATGACATTTTTACAAACTCATATAATAGGAAAGATGGTGCGCCAAAAGTGTAACAAATTACAATGCACAAACATATATTACTGGGCAAAGAATATCACATCCTAATATTGTCATATGCCTAAATGTATTTAAAAGTCAAGGGTTACAAATGATTTGCGATCCACCTTGGAATATAGCATAACCCCTTGATGCCGACGTAACACAAATATGTGTCCTCACAGAACTGGGCTGCTTTCCGTGGGGCTGCATATTTGCGTACCTGTCTTTCTGCTGGGAGCCCATCGCATGGTGCGCTCCCAGCACAAAAGACCGTGGTGTCACTGAGAGTACCGGGTCCCATTCTAACGATTGGGACCCGGGACTCTCGATTCCGGGTTGCATGATCGCTGTGAAAGCCTCTGACTGGCTATCACAGTGATCAGTCACTGTACAGCCCAGCCCCTTGTTTTCTCTTTCTATGAATGGAGGAGAGAGATACATTGTATCTAACTCCTGGCATAGAGGGGGGAAAAAATGTTTGTTAAAAAAAAAAAAAAAAAAAAATAAATAAATAAAAGAAAGAATAAAGAAAAAATATCTAGCTCAAGGTTTGATTTAGTTCAGTGCCAGGGTTAGTGTTTGGGTCAAGGTCAGGGTCAAAGGTCAATGTCAAAAGGTCAGGGTCAAAGGTCAGGATTTTAAAAAATGGTATCAGTTTCAGTTAGTGTCAGTGTGTTTTAAGTAAAAAAAACAAAAACAAAATGTGCACTATTGTTTTTGGGCTGTACTACGGGTACAAACAACAAATAACATACACATATATGGTATCGCTGCGATCGTCAAGAGCTGGAGAATTTATTTTGGATTGTTTTTTGGTGGTAGGTTATGGTAGCAACAAGAAACACATAGCTAAATTTAAAAAAATTATTTTATTTTTTACTATTTTTGGCCCAGTTTTCCTTTGATAAAAAAAAATCAGGAGATATCCATTACCATTTACCACCAAATGAAAGCCCAATTTGTCCTTAAACAAACAAGGTATAATTCACCTAGATGTACAAAGTAGCTGTGATGATATGTACGGTTATACTAACACATGTCAATGTTGCAAAATTGTGCTTAGGCATTTAGATTTGTTTTACCCTTAGGCATGAATGGGTTAATATTGCAGTCTATGTAATATACAGAATACAAGGATGTACAATTAATGCCTGAGTCAGAAATAAAATTTACTAAGGTTTAAAGTTACACTGCTTTCAGAAGAATATGTATTTAGAGTTAAATATAAAATGGTATATTTTTCTATCTGTAAGGGGTTTAAGTTGATCAGAGTGAGGGAACTTTTCTTTCTGCATTGAAGTATCTAAAAGGATATGGACTGGCAGTTTTGACTGGATTTGGGCTTTAATAACTGTTAAAATAAAATAAGGTTATTAGGTTGTATTTATTGTTAGGCTACTCATGGGGTTGATAATAAAGGAGTAATTGCTGTTGCTTTAGAAAATGGTATATTTAGTTTGCACACTGAATGTTAGTCAGTAATGTGACCCATTTATGTTGGATACACAATGTGGGAAATTTTTAAAAGATCAACATTTTTTTTTGCTAGCTCATGCATGTCTGTTTGAAGTGAATATAGCGTCACCTTATCTAATATCTTTATTTTACATATTTCTATGCAGACTAAGCTGTTCAGCAGAAGTGACAGTTAAAGGGGTTGGGAAAAAACTATAACACTTCAGGGATCCTTACAACAGACAGCTTATACTCCTAAAGTCATAGATGACATTATTCTCTTTGACCATAGTTCTAGTACCATTTATAAACCATTTGTAAAGTGACATGTGGACCTGATAAACTGGTTCTGTAGGTAAATAGGGGAACAGAAATACTGCATACACATGTGAACGAATATCTATGCTTGTCAGCGAAACCACTTTTTTCATTATTGTCCTATATTATATTTACCTCAATAGCTAGTGTATAAAGTTACATATACAGTCATTTGTAAGTTATTATTAAGCATATTTAGTGCTTAATAAAGTGCTGTAATTTCTACTATATGTATAACCAAAGCTTTTTTTTATATTGAATAGAGTAGTGAAAGGTAAAACCTCTGTCAATTTATGTCTTGCTGTCTTTGTCACTTTGAGGAGATTCCTCTTAGATTCATAGTCCCATAGCCTAAACACGAAGCGATAGG